GAAGGTGTCAAGACTGGTGTAGTGTTGAAGTTGTCAGACTGGTGTAGAGGTAAAGGTCATCACACACATCAACTAAAGTCATCTTTGAAACTATCACACGTCAACTAATGTCATCTCTGAAACTTTCACAAATATCAACTAATGATATGGCAATGTCTGCAAAAGAGTGAAAATGTTGTCTTGTGTTTCTAATGCTAGTACGCTTTCCATATAAATAATCATGTATTCGTAGTATACTTGTGTGAGTATAGGTACCCTATTATGGAAAGAAAAGGGTGTTATCCCTCTGTGGATTGGCATATGCAGACTATCGCTGTCGCTAGGGATGGCATTAGACAAAACATAGGTTCTCTCTAGGCCTTACTGCTACCACTGGTGATCCTGGGGTTGTAACAGACCTAATCGGGCTATAAAAGCCTAGCACAGACATCTGAGCTAAAATAACATAGGAAGAGATATAAGTGGTGAACATGGTATTTGGTGATTGTTAGCTCTGGTTTTCCTCTTAGTCACAGGACGTTACTCATATGTGGAGGCCAGGTCAATGATCAGTATCCTAAAACCCATTAAATGTAACCAGCATACAGCCTGCAGTATAAGGGATCCTCAATGAACACCTCACTCAAGTCCATGCACCAGTGTCCAGTTTGACATGATACTACAACTGTCAACTGTGCCTGTATGATCACCATCAGCTTATGTCCTCAACTTGAGAACTTGTTATGTGGCCATGCTGCCAACAACTGCCACTAGCACAGGGTGGCATAGAGTCTAGACTAGAACAATTAATAGATAACACTGAACCTTCTCCCGTGAGCTAACTTTTCAATGCAATAAACACTATATTGTGGTAAACGTTATATTTTCAAGTTTTATTAACTCCAGTTACTAGTAAACATTGTATTTATTATTGAATTCACAAGACTTTGTAACTGCTCAAGGCCCATTGTTAAAAGAACCAGCCCTTCAGATAAACAGATCGTCCTGGACAGATAAGTTGTGGTTGCCAGCAATTGCAGTCACTCTTAACACCAAGTGCCAGTTACCTATGTCTAAAATTCCACAGTCTGGCAATAATGATACATTTTAATTTTACTTTGTCTTGCTAAATTCATTTCTTTACATTCTTACTTGTATTGCACTGATAACATATTTTTTTATTTTACATTCTGCGGTTAGTGTCCATCATTCACAGTTCTTAAGTTGTTTGGACTGTATGTCGTATTGTGTAGTTCAGGGCTATTCAACTAAGTTTTCTCGCAGGCCAAAATGTTGAACATGGAGATCGTCGTGGGCTAGTGGCCCGAGCCCACACTACAACTGACAACATTTTAAATCCGTAGATTTATTACACTCTAAAACTATTACGCCTAGGACTTAGCCTATATAAATGAAGCAGTGTTGTAAACCATTATAATGTCAAGTGTGCTACCATCTTCTGTAATGATTCATTAATTCTCACTTTTGATTCTTCTTCTTTGTATTCATCTGCTGTAAACTTCGTCGGAAAGTTCTGGTTGTTTGTCCACTTCTACATTCTAGGCCTGTTCCATAAACTGAGTGTTGCGCACACATCCGTTTTACATGTCTGACTCAACTGCATGCAGACTGTTGGTTCCTTGGCTCTGCGACAGATGCACTCTGACTTCAAAGGAAGCTCCAGATCAGTAGACTCTTGCGACATTCTTTTGGGTAGGCAGTGGGTCTATTCTCGTTTCCCCACAATAGAGCCCCGGAACACTTTTAACTTAAAATACATGTATTTCCAAATTGTCGTTGGGATCATAAATAAACATTACCATTGTCACTTCCATTACATTGTCCTAATAATAATAATAATAATAACTGTGCACAGTTGGTTTCCAATTTTGCAGAAGAAACCGAAAGGTATAATGATGCAAAATGTAATTAATGGGAAATGCTGCATTTTCGATTTTGAGCTAATTTTACCAAATTTGGTTGACGAGAAGTTAGAGAAATTCTCATGCAATCCTGCAGCCTGTCATTGCTCAGTGAGCTCCAATTATTTGTCTTGATGACTTTCATGTATAAAAAGCTTGATTCACTAGTGAAAGTTCAGCCAAATATAGTGAGTATGAATATGGCACCTTTTCTAGCATTGGGGAACTGCTTCTGTTGAATCCTTTCGTACCAAAACTAGGCGGCACCACTTTCTTGAAAATCTTCATTCACTGCGCTGGAACTTTGGATTTCCACAAGCTCTAACTGCAGAGAACCTTCGTCAACAGTGGATAACAGCTTTGGAAGAAAAAGTCCTGCAGGAGGAATTTTAAAAGGATCTCGAACGAATAATATTTCTTACTTTGTTTGGGATATTGAAGTGTCAAATCTGTTGTTAAAATTATTCTGAAGCTTTTTTAAATAATTATAACATTTGATCGGTTAAGGTTGCCGAGTCCAGTGTTGAAGAAATAAAACAACAAGCACACTGGTTTTGAATTAAGCATAGTTGGTGATATAAATAAATATTTTAGTGTCCAGTTACCGTAGAATGCCGGATTTTCACATTCCCATTTGGCTCTCTTGTTAGTGCTAGCCATGGCATCAAGTATTTAAATTATTAATAGTAGATAATTTAAAACACTGTTACTGGTTCAGTTTGTTACTACACAAACGCGTCCGGCAATCTGCATCTGGCTGTGACTTGTGTGTGACTATTTTTTAAAATTATAATCTGATAACAAGATCATAGCAGGTACTCTGCGGTGTCTAGTGTCACTGATGTTCTGCTGCACCAAATGTCACTAGTTTGTGTGTACTAGTGGCCACCATTAAGGAGAGCTTCTCTGTAATCTAAGCTCTAATTATCAGGACCGTGCTGGTATTTTCATACGCTCTCCTGTCCAATAAATATCTCACCTTTATCGCCTGTCCAGTGCAGCAGTGGCTTTCCTACCTGGTACTTGATTCTTTCCAGCCGGTCTTATAACCTTTGGCTTCAAACAGGCTTTTCTGCTATTTGAACGAACTGGGAACAAACTTTTATCCTGAACTAATTACACGTTATGTTTCTGTGTATCTCCGCATTTTCAGATCCCTGACACATATTTCCTATTGACACATTCGACACAACTGGTTTTGAAGGTTTATATGGAAACATTGATTGATTTAATTTTTTTTCTTTTTCATAACCATATTTCACTATTTTGGTAACGATTGGCGGGCTGCCAGTTAATAGCCCTAGTGTAGTTTATTCTGTACTGTGTTAATTTGACTAGCATATAATTACTATCTAGTCTGGGAGCTTAAAAAAGTATTGGGAGTCAGCCCAAGTTGCGCCTAGGAATGTTTATGAATTTTGTAGTGCCATAATTTGAGTCACCTCACCCCTGAAGTAGGTTGGATGTCCATTGCAGCTGCAGGATATCGCCTAGACCACTGCAAGCCAACATCTCAACACTTGAACTACTTCAGAGTGTCTTTTTGGTTCATAAGGGGAAACACTAATAAAGACACATGATACCAGCGTTATTTGACAGTAATCTCTGAAACTGCCACAAACATCAACTAATGTCACCTCTAAAACTGCCACAAACATCAACTAATGAGACCTCTAAAACTGCCACAAACATCAACTAATGTCACCTCTAAAACTGCCACAAACATCAACTAATGTCACCTCTAAAACTGCCACAAACATTAACTAATGTCACCTCTAAAACTGCCACAAACATCAACTAATGTCACCTCTAAAACTGATACAAACATCAACTAATGAGACCTCTAAAACTGCCACAAACAAAAACTAATGAGACCTCTAAAACTACCACAAACATTAACTAATGAGACCTCTAAAACTGCCACAAACATCAACTAATGTCACCTCTAAAACTGCCACAAACATCAACTAATGACACCTCTAAAACTGCCACAAACATCAACTAATGACAGCTCTAAAACTGCCACAAACATCAACTAATGACACCTCTAAAACTGCCACAAACATCAACTAATGACAGCTCTAAAACTGCCACAAACATCAACTAATGACACCTCTAAAACTGCCACAAACATTAACTAATGACAGCTCTAAAACTGCCACAAACATTAACTAATGACAGCTCTAAAACTGCCACAAACATCAGCTAATGTCACCTCTAAAACTGCCACAAACATTAACTAATGACAGCTCTAAAACTGCCACAAACATCAACTAATGACAGCTCTAAAACTGCCACAAACATCAACTAATGACAGCTCTAAAACTGCCA